TTGGGTGGCTGTGTGGGGCTGACTCAACGCCTCGCTGCCTAACATTGGCCAGGGCGCCCAGCAACAAAGGCACTCACCAGCCTCAAACATTCACTTTGTCGTCACTTGCCGCACTTAATCCCGGTTGCGTTCCCCGGCAACCTGATATCTGACCTCATGGTTCCTCTCTCCCAACCACTTCATCAACCGCCCCTTCCTCACATACAAGGGTGAAGCCCAACCCATAGGGCAAGATGGAGGCAATCTTAGCAAAGGTATGACATGCTTTGACTCCCAACACGTCATAACTGACAGGGAGTCATCTTCTCGTATTCTTGGATTACGCTGACATGTGATAGGTCACCCAGCAGGCTATGAGCTATGCTATCCGAAGCGGCATAGCAATCACTAGCCACTATGCGCTCAAGCAATGCGGCCGACTGATGAAGACGGTCGATGGTCGAGAAAAGCAGGAACTCGCTACTCTGCAGTTGAGACTCGACTCCAAGATCAAAATTATCTCACCAGCAATCGACATGATCGAACTGATTGCGGCACGCGGAAACACCTCGCTTGAGTCCGCAGTGGGTCTTACCAAATCTCTTCGGTGGGACATCCAGACCTTAGGGAGTCGTGTCGAGAAGGCTGTCGCTGAAGAGCAACTTGCGAGAAGAGGCAGCTCTAAAGCAAAATCACGCGACCAAAACGATGTTGAACTCAAGATCATCATCGAAGAGATGAAGAGGTTGCTGGAGCGGATTGAAGACGCGGTGCCGCTGATAAATTTGGCAATCACCACATCTGGTACCAGTCTCTCAACTACGCTCCCAGCTACTGTATCGCCATCACGGCTTCTACAGGCGAGCACCTTTCTCACTTCGGGCGACATGCAATATTGCGCATCGAAGCCTAGGGCTCAGCAAATTGGTCCCACCTTCACACTCTCCATGTACATGTTGTTCGCTGGATACGCGCATCGAGCTCATGAAGAAGACGTGCGAGAGACGACATGGAAGGAGGTCATGCACAAGGCGCGTGTTACACTGATGCGAGTTCCGCTGGACAATGTCTATGACTATCCGACGCCCTTTGGGCAGGACAGTCGACGCGCTAACGAGGCTAAACACCCTCACATCCCATCCGACAGCGTACTGCAAGAGTTCGCTTACCAGCTACTCATTGTTGAAGACTTGGATGACGGCCGTATGCATGAGTTTGAAGATGGCGAACCCCAACCGGGACCATATGATGGCGTCGAGCAAGCGGGCGTTCGTGAGATCATTCCAATACATGAAGTGTCCAAGATCTTCTACGCCGATACAGGCAAGATCTTGAATATTGGTTCCGACAACGAGAGCAACAACCCCATCTTGCTGCTCAAGCGTGACGTCAATGCAGCGCCGCCTCGACGCATGATGGAACGCGATGCCGAGGAGCCCGGCTATGAGTCGGACGACTCACATACCGTTGCTGATGATGAAGACCCCGAGCAAACAGAGTTGGAAGAACAACTGCGACGCGAATCGACACCACACCTCGAAGAGCCCACCCCGCAAGAGACCGCTCCGCAAGAGCCCGAGCAGCCTACATACCCCTGGCGACTACCCCCCACGCTCGATCTCGAATGGATGGCATTCGAAGTATACACCGAAGACCCCACCACTGACTCCGAGATCGACGAAACAGAGGACCTCACTGAAGACGTTTCTCCACCATCCCCAGCAGCCACACCCACACCACCCGACTTCCTCGGCCGCTTCTCCAACCTCAATCTCCGACCTAGCACACCTACCTCCCCACAACCGAATTTCAGCAACCAGATGATTCCCTCGCCGCAAAAGGCTTCTGCGCCGACTCCACAATATCAGCAACAAGCCCCAACGTCTCTCCCTGCTATCAAGACTTCACTCTCGCTTCTGGAGATGCTCATACGCTTGACTGCGCTCCAGCAATTCCAACAATCCTCCCATCTTGCTATCCCAGATGAGTTCCTCAACTTCTTCCTCTCGGATAGCAGTACGGTGGGTGCTGGTGGCGATGCTGAGCTACGGCGAAGGGTGAGGAGAGAAGCGAGGATGCGAGTAGGATTTGATCCATACGACGAGAGTCCGATCAAGAGGAGAGGAGAAGAATACCTAGAGCACGAGCTACACGAAGGGCATGACCAAGTCCACGACCACGATCGCGACGGCTGGACAGATACGCCCACGGCCAACGACGGCAGAGGCTACGACTACGATAGCTATCCTATCGGTCAGCGCGGTTCCTCACCATACTCGCGGTCGCGGGGTAGTACACCTGGTACACCGACCGTCCGCTCAAATTCTTCCACCGAGGTCTCGCACACCGCACGGCATAGTCTGGGTAACGTCTCCTCGCCAAGTCCTCTCCTAAGACGAGCAACGACACAACCGGGTCAACACCTCAACCAAATGAAACAGCCCAACTTCTCGCGGAGACAGACTGGTGAGACTGCGGTACCGCGTACGGGTAGTGCGCCGCCTGATACCCCGCCTAGTAGTGTGGCTAAGCCGGGTTAGAAAGTACTCGCAGTTGACGAGACTACGATTACGATGAGAGAAGAATGTCATGAGGAGGGGGCGTGCAGATTGTCAATAGTCCCATGTCCATTTTGTGTTTAGAGCAGAAAGAGCGAGCGAGCGATTTCAAGCATCAGAATGGCGTTCTAGATACCACTTGGCTTTTGTTCCCAGGATACAATTTCAATTATTATGAATTAGCGTAGCATAGCGAGCGAGCACTCATCATCAAATCTTCAATACAACAGTAGGTAGTAAAAATGTTCCACATAAATTTAATATCCTAGCCACCCATCGTTCCTCCCAACCTCATACCCATCATATCCATCAAACAACATACAACAAATAACCAAAACACAAAATCCCATCGCGCCGAAAACACCACACATCATTCATATTCATATTCACATATCCATCCCCATCTCATCTCCACCGCCTACTCCTCCAATCCCTACCCCTCCAACCATCCCATCCCACCCCCTACTCCCATCCTACTCCCAGTCCTCCTCCTCATCACTCTCCTCCGTCACAACCTTCTTCTTCCCATCCTTCCCATCCTTGCCATCCTGCGGACTCCCCGGCGCCCTCGTCGTCGTCCCAGAAACAAGATCATAACTCGCGTCGCTATCAGCCACGCTCTTCTCATCGTTTGATCGGCGGGGTTGCGCGGGTGCTGGTTTAGCGTCGTCTGTGGGTTTGAGGGTTTTGACGGAGGCGGCGAGGTCGGTTGGGGGTTTGGTTGTGGTTGTGCTGGTTGCGGGGAGGGGCTTTGTGGTTGTGGTGGAGGGAGCGGCGGTGGTGGATTTAGTTGTGGGTTTGGTAACGGTAGCGTTGTCGTCGGAGTCGTCGTCGGAGTCGTCTTCTTCGGAGGAATCGTCTTCGTCGTCATCTTCTTCTTCGTCTTCGTCATCGTCGTCTTCTTCCTCTGAGTCTTCGTCCCAGGCTACTTCTTCGTCGGCGGCGGGTGTTGATGCTGTTGGCACAGGTTAGCGTTACATCCCTTTCCGGGGGTAGTAGATCCAACTCACCCTTAAGCAACTCCTTCCTCCTCTGCTCCTCACTCTCAATAACATGGCGCAAGAAATAATATCTGCACCAAAACACCTTATACTCCACCTTCTCCGGCACACACTTCTCCATCGCACTCCTCAACTCCTCATGCTTCTCCAAATCCTTCGCAATGGCTTCCGTCTTCTTCTCCACATCAAAGCCCGCCTTCCAGTTCTCCCACTCCGGACTCGCGGGGTCTTTGAGGAAGGAATCGAGCGTCGAGTGGATAACGTGGAGTTGGGCGTCGAAGCGCGTGGCGTGAACGACTTTCTTGCCGCTGCTGTCTTTGGATTCGAAAAGCACGTCGCCGTCTTTAGCGGCTTGCGAACCGGCTTCGGGAGGCGCGATGGTGACGGCGTCGCGGAGGAAGTTGCGGATGTTGCTGCCGAATTTGAGGAGCGCTTCGTCTGCGGCGTCTTCGGCTTTTTCTACGTCTTTGAGGCGTTTTGCGGCTTCGGAGCGGAAGCGCGATAGTATGCCTTCTGCCTCCTTTACAATGTCTGCGGTGAGGGATTCGGGTCGGTCGGGGTGGGCTTCTGTGTCTTCGGTCGCTTTCTCGGTGGAAGCGTCTTGGGGGGTGGACGCGGATCTGGAGCTCGAGGCGTCGCCGGGTTGGAGGGAGATCTTGCGCGCGTGGCTGATGATGTTGGATACGCTGGCGGAGGCATTCTTGACCTGTGGCGCATACTGCTTGCTTGCGTTGTCGTAGTATTGCTCGCCCTACACCGCACATGGTCAGAAAGGGTAGCTTGGATCCCACACGCCGGTCTTACCTGCTTCCTCACATTCCCCAGAAATCCTCCTAGACGCGCCGCCCACGGGCTGCTTGATATAGCTTTGTAAGCATCCTGGAACTCGGCGTTGAAGTTGTTGGTCGTCTCCTGGTGGGTGTTATCTCCGCCGGCGGACTGCTTGGTGGGGTCCTGCGGGTAGCTCTCCTCCTGGATGTGATCGTAGGCGGAATCCATAGCTACGACTGTCCAGAAGGGAGGCAAGGTGTAGGGGAGGTTGGGTAGAGGGCGGGGGCTAAGGATGCTGTTGTGGTCGTGAGACACAGGCTGGTTGGGTCAATCAAGGGTGCAGGTCAAATGCGGGCGGGGCCATGCATGAAGCTCCGCAATTGCCGCTAGCAGTTGGGCGGACATCACCAGCTCAGGCACGCTCGCGTTACACAAACAATGGTCAAGACTATTGACGCGACGATATTGAATTCATTTTGAGTCTGAACTTCTTCTTCCGATATGCTCAAAGGTGGTCATCACACCGGCCTAATGGCGTCGCCACTCGCTGCTGGTGTGCGCGCTCGCTGCTCGGTGTCTGTTGTGTGCATCCATAGATTCCCGTCCATGCAGTGGTCATCCACATCATCCATAACACTTCGACTGCCTCAGCTGGCTTGGTATCGCTGCTCCTCTTTCCCCCCTCTCCGCTTCACCTCTTCTTCTTGCCAACCACCGTCGTGAAGCCATCTTCATCGATCTCAGGCTCAGGCTTAGCCGCCTTCGGTTTCGCAGGCACAAGCGCAGGCGCATCATCCATATCGACATCCTCATCCTCATCCGTCTCCTCATCCACACTATCCCCCTCAAAGTCCTGATTCGTCTCCTTAACATTAACACTCCCAGTCGCAACCTCCTTGCCCTTCCTATCTTCCCACTTCTTCTGTAGCGCATCCACCATCGCTGTGTTGCCCTCGCCAATCTCCTTCCGTATCGCCATGATTTCGCGCGCAACGGCGACTTCGGTCTCGTCTTCTACGCGCACGCCGAACTCGTCCTCGAGGACTTGTAGTAGGACCACTTCCACATCTTCTTGGTCTGTGAGGGGCTCTGCGGCGAAGAGTTCGGAAATTTGGCCTGCGAGCCAGTCGCGCTTATCGGAGGAGTCGGGGCCGCCCCATTGGTTTTGGACAGCGACGGTGAGGTTGTTCCAGTTGAAGAGCGCGTGCCAGATTCCGAGGTCGAACTTGTCCTGGTGTTGTTCTAGGCAAACGTTAGAAAATGGATGGGTAAATCGGCGCGACTACTTGCCTGCGATTGGGCCGAATGCTGAAGTCATTTCGGGTTGTGTTGCTGAGAGATTCGCTGAGCGGCGTGGGTTTGCGTGACGAAATATCGATAATTTTGCCCGTTATCGATAGCGCCCCGCCATTATTTCATCACGCACACGTGAAGACGCGACATCGCGTTCCGCCACAGTCAATGCAGTTGATTAGCGTCGCATTTGCTTTTTGCAGGTGAATCCGCATCTCCGACGTGATGCGTCTGATATTGGGTGTGGTCTCACGATTTCCTCACCAACCACTCCAGTTCCTTCGCCTGTTCGTCCGTCACAATCTGCTTGAACTTGTCCATCGTGAGGAAATCATGATCCGAGAACTCAAAGCCGGGTATCACGGTCTAAGAAATCGCGTTAGTCAGACGTATGCGGTCACTATTCATGGGTGAAAGCACATACCTCACTAATCAGCAATCTCTCCCCTTCCGCTCCGTCAAGCAAGAGACTCGCCTTGTATTTCCCACCCTCAACAATCCATACACTCTTCTCTCCCTTCGTGACATCAGTCCCAACCACGAACGTTTCGATGCGCTTCTTAGTGCCGGGCTCGTCGGCGTGGATGAGGACGTAACGACCTCGACCTGAGATGAGGGTGTGTACCTATACACAGGATTCAGTGTCAGTAATTCACTACTACTATTGCATGCATTTCATGTTTTGAACAATAGGGTCTTTACATACCGTCCTCCCCTTATTCCGATGAAAGTGTCCCTGAGGATTCACTGCACTCAACATGTAGTATATACTCGTGCTCGCGTTTCTGATTGCATTGTCACCTGACATGGGCTTCTCCGCCGTATTCTTCACATCCTCTTCTTCATCGCCGCCGTTCTTCGCTAAGAAAGGATTGGGAATGGTGAGAGGATTGCGATCGATTTCCGCATAGTAGCCGCCTTCGACGTGTACCTGGAGGTTGAGGGCTGAGATGATGGCTCGGGTGTTGGCGGGTTCGGTGCCGGAGGGGTTGGGGGTGTAAATTTGGGTTATTTTCTCTGGAGAGGTGGAGGTGCGTGACATGTTGTGCTAGCTGATAGGCTGTTCCGCCGGTTTGAGCGCTGGTGGGATGGGATGCGTGAGGCTGTTGGTGTTGGTGATCGATGACGTTATCGCCGCTAGTCGCTGATAAGATGGGCAGGAAGTCGCGCTACAAACCTCAGACGGCATCGACGCGTCCACGTCGCTCACTTCCAACACCCCAACATCGCGCGACGGCATCCGACTCCAGCGCAAGATCTGACACCAATGAGATGGCGCACTCTTCGACGGTGGCGTTCACTGCACCCGAAGCCAACGGCATGTATGCACTTCGGTGTACAAGCCCTTCTGATCCAATCATCGAATGCTACATCGGATGAGTACAGCCTTGGTTAATTTGCGACGACATACTTTCCCTATGCATGCTATCGGATGGTGGGTGGACGGCCAATGATGTCGAGGTAGGCCCCCGCATGCATGCTTCATGCGGCACAGTCGCTGGAAGGCTGTATTGCATCTTGTTCCTCCCTCCCAATTCGCCTTACTTCATACTCGCCTTCCATACCTTCCGCAATAATGGGGTGTTGCAATTTGTTCAGATTTTCCCGTCGAAAGGATCGAGAGAAGCCCAGGACATCGGCACTACAAGTCGCTGTGGCCACCAGTGACGACTTCCAGGAGAAGCGGAGCGAGGAGGGGCCGAAAACCTCCTCCACGACGGATGTACAGTCAACGAGCACCAGCACCCCAGAACTGGTAGCGGAAAGCTTACCCGGACGTCTATGGAACCTGGCATACGACCAGCTCAAATCAAAGGATCCGAAATTGATCGAACACTATGAGGGCATCCTATCAAGCCAAATTGATGGACAAGAGCTTAAGGCCGTGGACCTCAATACACAGATCAACAAGATCAGCCTAGAGCAGCCAAGATCACTGCAGATGCGACAGCTCGTTGCCTCTGGATTGCTCAGGACGGAGAAAGCAGCTGCGACTAACGAAGCAGTCGCGCAAGGCCTGCAGGTATTCAATGTCGTCAAGGATAGCGTCGCAACAGCTACCAGAGCTTCTCCAGAAGCCTCCATAGCTTGGGTACCGATCTGCCTTGCTCTTGATGTATGGCTGGCGAACTTTGATGATGCAAGCACATGGCTGATGCATGTCAGATACTCATGAATCCACTCACCCAACAGTCTTCTAATAGAGATGGAATCGCTTACGTCGTATCGAGGATGGATTGGTACTGGCATCTAGCTGATCTTCTCCTAGAGAGAAACCAAGAAGCCCGACGATCGCAGCCGCTGCAAGAACAACTCGAGAAGAATCTCGTCGACCTTTACACTCGTCTTCTGGCATACCAGATCAAAAGTATCATTACATACCATCGCAAACGTGGCACTGTTTTTGCAAGAGACCTTGTCAAGTGGGATGATTGGGAAGGTGAGCTGGCTGCGATCAAGGAGATGGAAGAATCGATACGCCAAGATGCAGCTCAGTTCAACACGCATGAAATCCGCAACCAACTCCAAACTATTACGGAGAAAGCTGAGTCACAGGACATCAGCCTGCATAACATTGTGACGAGTATCCAGGAACAAACGGCGCACTCCCTGGCGTATACGAAGAGTGCCGACGACAATAAGTGTCTCCAACACCTGTTCCTGACGAACCCCAGCCACGATAAAGAACGGCTCGAAAATGCAAAAGGGGGATTACTGGATGGTTCTTTTCGATGGATACTTGACAACGCGGATTATCGGCGTTGGCGGAATGACCGTGAGGAGCGATTACTGTGGGTTGAAGGGTGGGTCGATCGCGCTTCCTATTGCCATTTGGTAAGGGACCCGTGCTAATACTGTTCAGTTCACCCGGTCAAGGCAAAACCATGCTCATGTGCGGCATCATTGACGCACTCGAACAAACCGTGGCGGCGGGTGATCTCATATCTTACTTCTTCTGCCAGACATCAGAACCGCGCAACAACAACGCAACGGCAGTCTTACGGGGTCTCATCCATCATCTGATTGGTCAACAGCCGTCACTTGTACGCTATGTACGACTTGAGTATGATCGCGTGGGCGAAAAGTTATTTAACGACGCAAACACATGGACGGCTCTATCCAAGATCATTACCAGTATGCTGGATGACACATATATACGGCAAGGGAATATCTACCTCATCATAGACGCTATGGACGAATGCATCGACCCGGACGATCGTAGAAGACTCTTGGAACTGATTGTACAGATTTCAAGAAGTTTATCACACACCAAGTGGATAATATCCTCACGCGGTTGGAACGATATTCGCGATGTGCTTACTGAGCATCCTCAAATGCTTCATCTTGGACTCGATCCCAAATCCGAAGCTATTCTTGATGCTGTCAATACCTACATCGAATACAAAGTCGAGGCGTTGGCTACTAAAAAGAGACTGGATCTATCGGATGCCGTCATCATCCGCGGCTACTTGATCGAAAACGCCGGAGGGACATTCTTGTGGGTAGCGTTGGTCTGCAAAACGTTGGAGAGCTCGATTGGCATTGTCTACAAAACGGCCATGCAAGCCTTCCCTCCTGGGCTGAAAGAGCTATATAAAAGGATGCTCCAGCAAATCGAGAGTATGAACGGCATTGAAGTAAAAATTCACAAGCTCGTTCTCGGCGTAGTGTTAACCGCGAAGAGACCTCTCCGCGTTACGGAACTACCACTATTCGTAGAAGAGCTGGATGATATTACAGACAAAGTGGCAGCGATAGAAGAGATCGTCCTGGGCTGTGGATCATTTCTTTATCTGCAGAACGGCACAGTCCACTGCGTTCATCAGTCGGCCAAAGACTACTTGCTGAATGAGGGCAACAAAACTGTCATTGGAGACAGTCAAGGCGACTTCTATATTCGTGTTCTTAACAGGATATCTGGGATGCTTCACAAGCTCATTAAGGAAGACGAACGTATGGAGGAGCTGCACATCCGTTCCACTGGCCAGAATTTATGGGGTTCGGATGGTTGTTCTGGCGAAACACGGGAGATACTTCAGCATGTCACCCACTACGCGTCTTGTGTTAGAGACACTGACCTCAAATTCTACATAGTTGAAGAGGGAACAGTTTTCCAAGACTTCTTCCATTATTTCTATACCCGAAGACCTAGCGAGTGGCGCGATAAGGCGCGCGCTGAATGGGCGGCACAACACCAGATCCAGAATGGATGAAGCAACAACTCATGCCATGCGATAGAGGAGTTCTCAATCCGATAACACTTCAACGTATTGGAGATCGGCCGCTAGCTGAGGGAGTGCCGATAAGACAACAGAATTTACTCGATCTAAACCGGAGAGTTGAAACTCGAACACAGTGATGGCAGTAACGCACGAGATAAGGGCAGCAACAGTTACAGCAAGGGTTCTGGTAGCAACGTTAAGATTGTATGGACTGTCAGCGGACCGGAGTTGGTGCGACACACTGCAAATCTCGGACCGCGAACCAGAGGCTGTGGCAAAAATACATAGCTAAACAGGCGTTTTAATCACATCGAACAATGATGGCTGCCTAGATATATGTATGTCATACAGATGCTTCGCCTTTTTCTAGTACTTAGCCTGAGTAGATCGTGCTTCCATGGATTGCGACGTCTATGACCTAGTCCACGCCGAATCATGTTGTTCATCCATCACTAGAGATGCATCATCTGCATATTCGAAGTCCAATGCATCCCACGCCATAACTTGTCATAGGTTCCTCAATTTAGTCGAGCCAATGTTTCACGACAGACGTAGTAGCTGATACGCAGATGGCTGTCACACAGCAAACTCCACTCAAAAGCTCGGCTGACCCAGGATAAAACCAGAATGAATCAACCTCCTCTTCTACTTCATCGTCCGCATTGTCGGCCACGTCTTCGTTGTTTTTGTAAGCCGCCAGATCAGCGCATTTGACCGGACAGAGCACTTCAACACTTCTACACAAGCACCCTAGAGAATGTCACCAACTACAGTACCAATGCGAGACCAAGAGGAAGCTATAAATACGGACCGTCAATCGTGTCAACCCTCCCCTGACAACGAGCTCGACACATCTGCCCAGTCCAACAAACAACCCGAATTGATCGCCAACGAGGAACAATCTGAAGTCGAGCGTCAGGAACCTCACGAGCTGGACAATAAATCAAGCGGTGAACAAGCACCCAAGCGGAGACCTGGACCACTGAGCGAGGAGCAAAGGCTGGCTGTGAGGAGTCGTCAGGCCAAGATAACGTGCACCCGTTGCCGTGAGAGGAAGATCCGTTGCAGTGGTGATCCCGGTGATGGCTCTGGGTGCAGATACTGTGCGAGATCTGGCGTTGGGGAAACGGAATGCCGGTTTGGGGTTGTGGGGTCAAAAGCTGTAACGAAAGTGAAGGGTTATAATCATACTTTGATGGCTTGGAAGGGCCTTGGGGTAGGGTAAAGTAGCCGCCACGGATAGCTCTTAAGATATTTTGCTAACTTCTTACTAGTATGTAGTTGCCTTGCTATGCTCTAGCTAAGGCGATCCTAAGATATCTTGTTAGGCTTGCTAACAGCTTGATGGAGGAGGACCGGTATATCAATCTTGGGTTCCGCGATGAGGGACTAATATTGCTATACATTGTTCATGCTGGAAGAGATTGAACTGTCAACTGGGCGTTTCTGATCCTCTCCTACATCTAGCGCATCTCACGTCTCTTCTCTTCTCTAATTGTCTTGACTATAATCACTCTTCTCATGACCTGCTTGCTACATTTCCTGATTCTCGTCTCCAGCCAAAGAAGCTTCCTCCTCAATCTCTTCTTGACCTTGAGTATCAGTGTCGTTCGACGCCCCTGCAGAAGCCACTCCATGAGCAGAGTCAGACGGCTCCCCTTCATCCTGCGCCAAATCCCTGAAGTAATCAAGAGCAAACTTAACATCGCTAATCGAAAGCGCCTTGTAGCCATCTTTACGCATCGGTCTGTCGGCACAGTGTCCCTTGATAATCTTCCACGCATCATCTTTCCGTTGCATTCGAGTTATCTTGGCTAGCTCGTAGAGCAGCTGCAAGACCTCACCGTTTCCATTAGTTCCATAGCTTTTCAACTCCCGACTTCGAATTGGTATCTTGTTATGTCTTTGGAGCATGTTAACTGGGATAAGATCCCTGCAGTCTTGTACTTGCCAGTAGTGGTTGATCCAGAGGTTCCACTTTCTGTACTTGTCTTTTTGGCTATCCGTGGGAAGTATGGCAGCTGGAAGGGCAGCGGGGTCGTCATCTTGCTGATTGGCGATCGCGTCGGTTGTGTTTAGTGAGGCAGTTGCTGCAGAGGTCTTCCCGGGCTTGATGGCGTCGTCTGCGTCGTCTGTGTCATCAACCGGATCGACTACCTCGTCACCATCAGTTGCAAGCCCGTTGGAGCCTGCTTCTGCACAAATTAGCTCTTTTGCAACTTCGAACACAGTATGCGACATAAACATACCTTCATCGTCCGCATGTGTGTCAGGCATCTTATGCTTTCCCTTGTTGTATCTCCGATCTCGAACATATGATATGTCGCTCAGCTGTATCTCTGCTGACGAGCTGTCCTTTATCCTCTTCATTTTGCTCTCTACCAGTAGATCGTAGACGTCGTTCCCGTTTTCGATACCTGGCATTTCGTCGGCGAGGTCACCCAAGGCCCGCAGGATTTCGATAGGCCACCACTGAAGGTCTTTCGGGTAGCGCATGGTTAGAGGAATGCACGCAGTGCCTTCGGTGGTGGTTTCATACTGAGATGTTATCTTCGTCGCGAGAATTATTCGCTCTTCACGATCGGGATGGTCCTTTGGTAGATACATGGTGATATCGACAGTGAAATGAGGATCTTAAGACTGACAGGAGAGCATTCCTACTACTGATATAGATGGGCAAGATGGCAGTATTCTATTTGCTACTGACATGCGGGATAATGCAGATGACTGTGATTACTTGTGAACGCAGCAAGCATTCGTGATCGCGTGATCGCCGGGTGTTCTACGATGAAAGCATGTTTTCCTAACCAACGGCACGTATTTCCCAATCACTACGACCAATCTGATTCATAGTACTCATCCGATCCATAGTATTCCTCGGGCGATTCCTCCTCTGGAGTGGTGTAGTCTTCGCTATCATCTGCAGTATCTCCCTTCAGCCATTGATCTAGTCTCTTTATCTGCTTCCGCGAGACAACAAAACGTTCTTCATACGCCGCCCGAACTACGGTTCTTGTCCTTGACTTGAACGTCACGGGATGGGATAATACGAACAACACTGCGTTGTACGCCTTGTCGCCATCCATTTTACCATCCTCAAATTCGCCCAACAGGATGAGATACAGCAACCTGAAAGCGGCGTCGCGTGCTTTCGACTTAACACCCTTGGTATCTTCATCCTCTGGGTCCCAATCTATCCTGCAGAGCCTCAGATCGCTGAAGATCTGGTCGATACGTCGTTTTTCGAGGACATTAATGCCGAGAAACTCGTATGTTTCGCATAGAACGTGGTACTGTTGAAGTTCGGGGGGAAGATTCCTGAAGCATTGACGATAACCCGATTGGATTCCCTTCAAAGCTACGTCGAAAAGAGGTATCGGGCCGTGGACCAACTCGGTGGCGTCGGGCTGGGCTTTGGCTTGGAAATCGGCAAAGGACGACAGGTAGGGTATTTGCGAGAGGTCGATATCGTATTTGACATCTCCGATCGTGATAAGAGTATCTTTGGGGGTAGTATCCACTTCTGAAGGTGAATGCTGCCGAGTTATAGCATAGCATCAATACCGCCCGCTTCTTTGACGTCCAAAATTGCTTACCTGAGTTGGTGTATGCCTATTTGGGGCGGGATTCTCGCTCGTCATTCTGAAGCTGAGGCGGTTGGGCTTTTGGCGAGAGGCGAACAATGCGGGGTAACTCCCTTTCAAAACCCGGACTTGCGCGGCGTTCGAGGAACCAGCTCATAGAGGCTTCGAGTTTCCCACGTTCGTACTTTTGCTGCTGTGCGACATTGGATCTGCAGTGTGCTACACGTCTATTGGCACATATCGGGATCGGTTAAGCCCCACTCGCCATTGAGCCACAGTAATGAACAACTTAGAATGCTACAATTACACGTGACAGTCGCAGGCACCGCTATTTATGTCATGTACTAGCCTGAGACATGATTTGCAGTATGTCTTATCTACATTACTTCAACTTCTTGTCTAATCCCCGACGTCCTCATCTCGCGGTGCGTTCTCTGTCTCAAATAACACGGCTTATTTTTCTGGCAGTTTATGAACCTCCTCTGGCTCCAGCTCAACGTGCTCCTGTTTCGCATGCTCACGCTCATCTTTTCCATCATCACCCGTCTTGCTACCTTCCTCATCAACATCTGTCTCATCTGCGTCTAGTGAATACCGTCTCTTCCTCTTTAGCGGTAAGGTCGATGCTCCACGCGCACCTTGTAAGCTCGAAGCAGCCTCGTCAACCGTAGCGTCGTGGGTCGCTATGCTCGTGCGGTCGCTGTCACGTCTTACCATGACTGACGAGCGTCGGCTGCGAGCCATCGAGTGTTCCGCCTCTGCGACATCCACGTCGGACAGTAGCATTTGGTGATCAGCACTGTCGTGGCTGTCGGGTTCGGTGGCTCGAGATTCGCGTCGTCGTCTTTTCCGTTGCCTTCCATCGCGATGCTGATTTCCCCGCTGGGTGTTGATAGCGCCATCCTGACCCTCCTCGCCGGTAGTGCCGTCGGGGTTTGAATGTGCAATAGGTAATTGTTTTCGACTGTTGGTAACAGAGTCATCATCTTCTTCTTCTTCACGTAGGTCACGGAAGTGATCAAGAGCGACTTTGACGTCTGATTCTGCAAACGCTTTGCCTCCTCTTGCCTTCCACGCCTCTTCTATCTGCGCCCATGCTGCATCCTTTCGACCTTTTGTGATGCGAGCTAGCTGGTAAAGTACCTTCAACAGATCCTTGTGGTCGCTGGAGCTGTGCATCGCCCGATTGGTCGGCTTTCCAAATTTGTCTAGCTGCCGCATGTTCCGGGGAACAAGGGCTTTGATATCAGTGACGTTCCAGTAGTATTGGATCCACAGATCTAACTTCAACTTCAAAGTCTCCGGCTCATCTTCATCTTCTGGAAGTATTCGTTCTGGGCGCTCTTGGGGATGTGTAACATCGTTCTGGACTGAGGCGGCTTCCTCCTCTACCGTCACAGCCGCCGGTTCCAGTTCAACGCTGTCCCGGACAAACTCCAGATCAGATAACTGTAGCTGCGGTTCATGAGTAGTCGACTCGTCTGTCATCCTCGTCATGTGGCCGTTATTGAGAAGATGCACGAACAGACCCCGTCCCTCATCACCCGGCATACCACTAGCCAAGTAGCTTATGGCGCGTAGGATGGGTAGAGGCCAAGTACCGATATGCCCAGGATATCGCATAACCTCGGGGATGATGTCTGTAGGATTCGCCACTTTCCATAGAGATTTGATGTTATCGACCAGACTAAGGCGTTCGTCACGCTCGGAGGTATTTATGGCTGGTGGCATGGTGCAATTGGTAGTAGGTAGTCTCTACGGTGCTCAACAGGGAATCTGGAGAGTGCAAATATACATTGTCGAGCTTCGTTGTTGCGTTGTTTGTCTTGCTCGTCTTGAACGAGCTGGAAGAAGATAGTTATCGATGGATCCCACGAGCACCTCTAGCCTCGTCAGGCGATTGCTGCTTCTCAGCTTAGTTGGGTTATGTTGCTATCCTTGCAGACTAAAGTCCCAAAGCAACGCACTATCAACATTCAAAGGAGTCTCCATATTCAACACATCGCCCTCGTCGATCTTAGTACCCGGCTGACAACTCCCCATCAAATCCGCATTCGACCACGACGGAAAAGCTCCAATCGAATCAAACGGCTGTTGATACACAGGCACACCTCCATCCGTCCCAGGACTCGAGTTCGTGCCAAACTGAGACGATACGGTCGCACTGTCACTACCCATCTCCTCCGCCATCGACCGTGCACTCGTATCGCGTATCGCCTCATCCAGCATATCCGACAGGTAGCGCGCAGCAAGAAACGCCATGTCTGATTTCCGACCCAGATACCAGAGACCCTCGATGCAATCGCGACATCTGCGTATCGCTTGATCGCGTTCCTCTTCGATCGTTTCCGACGCCACGACCTGCACCAAGACGTACCCCGCTCTGCATAACGAGCGCACGAACGCCACAGTCCACGGCTCTGTCAACAGCGCGGCTTGGCTGAGCGCAAAGTGGAACTCATCTGTTCCTTCTTTCTCTTTCACACTGTGTATGCTAGCGAGACTCAGGTCGGCGACTGCTAGTGCATTCTGGCGGCGCAGCGTATCCACGAGGTTTGATGACTGTCGGAGGGTGCGCTCGTTGGGCGAAGAAAGTTTTGTCTTGTCGATTGTGAGTAGTAAGTCGGAAAGCAGGAAGGTTGCCAGATGCCAGTGGCCTGCTATGAGGGTGTACCAGGATTGTACGCGTGTGGGGAGGGTGGCGTGGTGCTTTACGCAGTCGGAGAAGAAGGGCGCGTACGTGCGATGCCAGTGGTTGTAGACGTGGAATGCGCCGTTTATACCTGACTGCGCACGGGGGAATCAGCCAGGGGCCTTGAAAAGAGGGAATGTCACGTCTCTGTACTTACCTCAATCCTAGCTGGCGAAACCTTCCGCGACACCAACGCTTGAAGATGGGCGACACGTCTGTAGAGTAGGACTTTCACTGGTGCGGCGGAGCTGAGTGTTGCGGCGGCGACTTTGTAGCTACATGGCCATCGCGCTGCTCCAGGGTCCACTTCCAGTGTGCCATCGCGTGTGAAGAGATCACCCCATACCGCATTGCCTTCCTGGGCCTGAGTCGCCGGAGGCTCAGTGGAAAGGATGGAAGGATTTGTCCGCATTCCGAATTGGTCCGTGTAAGTGGTAGGAGGGTTGGGCCACGTGAACGGCTCGGTATACGCGTCGTTGGTTGGAGGTGGTAGTTCGCTATCTTCATCGTCGACCACTACTGGTCGTTGGGAAATTGCTGCGGATAGGGTATCGAACATAACGCCAAACCAGTATAACAGATTGAAAGTATCTCTGTCTTCTTGCTGAAGGGGGTCTCGTCCCAGGTCTTGTTCTACGCGTTCCAGTCTCCGTCGTTGGGCGAGTAGCTGTCGCAAAGCTATCTCCAAGAATATAGGGGCGTCATCGTCTTGTACTAGGGCTTGAAAGTGTTCGTAATGCGTTCTCAACCTCGGATCCGTACGTGCATGCAGCTGGGTGGTGTCTAACGGCCTTTGGGTCAGCGAGAAGATGATCAAGGCAAAGATAACACGGAAAGAACCGATATCAGCAGCCTGATGCAGCAGCTTAGCTGTTTGATGCCAGAGTGTCTCCTGCATGGATCGCTCAAACTCATTCGACTGAGGAAACCTGTCCGCCGTAAACTGGTGGTCAGTCGCACGACCTCCTGCCCCTCTTTCGCCTGCTTGAGCCCATTGTGACGCGAAAGACATAATGACCATGTTGAGTGCTTTGGAGATTGTACGTTCTTCGTCGGTCGTTGGTTTCCGTATGCGAAGCGATGCGTAGGCTCGATCAAGTTGAAGTACACGGTTGTACATTCTGTTCGACCAGGTACCACTCCATTCCCGTGTAGCCTTACTCGCCGAGAGGAGAGAAGGCTTGTAGCGCGTCATCGTATACGGGCAGTTGTGCTCTGTGAGCCAACATGAGAGAGAATTCTCCATGCTGTCGTTGTAGATGCGTAATAACCCGTTGGTCACAAACCCCCGAGACGTTCTCTCCCCCAACAGTATGTCCATGAATGGAGATGAGGCATCGTCTCTCGGGTTTCGACGATGAGGACGCAGAGCGAAAGAGCTTCTCCGCGAGTATCGCGGCTGGAGCAATCCTTGCTCATTGTTCCTCCCCAATTGCACTGAGTCTAGATCCAGCGAATGTATCGATTCATCGGATATGTTATCAACGTCGTCACTCGGCGGATCGTTGAAGTAGTCCTCGCGCGTCTCGTCTTCGTCTTGAGATGATGACCACTGTGTGCCTCGATCTTGCAGTTCGTATTGAGCTTCGTTCGCGATGGATCCAGGTGGTATTCGATACTGATAGCTGACGGAGCTACTTGCTGCATGTTGTTCGAGCTGATCACTATCACTCTTCTCCTCTGAGCGCCTCCTCTTTCTCTCTCGCTCTGGATGAGTCACCGATGCTGTCTTCAACCAGTTGAAGGTGCAGACTTGGTTCTTTCGAAGGCAGTTGGAGCATGTCTGGTTCGCAAAGTCGACGCGTTTGTCTGCATCGCAAGCTCGTTTTCCGCGCTTGCATGAGTCGCAGCTGCGCATCTGTTGGCGGCGAGGGGGCTCGGGAGGTGCCGTAGGCTGTGGGACCGCGGACGATGGATTCGCTGGCGTCGCCGAATTGTCGGAACCCTTTGAATGAGGTTTACCTGTCACCTCACTCATAGTGCTGCTGTCAAACGTCTTCAACATCGTTGCGGTCCAAGTTTGTAAACAAAGGAGACGATGAAACCCGGGAGTGAAGATGGATAAATTGGCGATAGCCGTTCATAACACCTCAGTGTATACATGGTACCCGGTATGCGAATATTGCTAAGCGCGGACGCGTACAGGCCCTTGCCGCGACCCCGCTTTTTCGCATTCATCTTATCCCATGCGGAGGATCAGCTACGAGGATGAGAAGCCTCAAAACTCTTCTAGACGTCATAGTGAAGATCTCGTCCGTCTGAGTGGTGAAAAGCGTATTTGAGTTCCGTCACTTCCCGGCATGCATCAAACCATGGATTGTGACAGTCGTGCTCGAGAGCGCCTCGCGTGGGAAAGCTGAGGCAGGAGTGTCAGTGAATCGGTCCGCGCTGGCAGGTTGGGTTCTGGAAAAACGTCAACTAAATTGATAGAGTCTGCGCGATCCCCTTTCTGGACTAGCGTCCTTACGGCGTCTACTAACCGATCTCCGATTCCCACCACATCCCGACTTGCTTCATCTCACGTCAGTCCCTGCCGCAAAAGAATATAAGATCAGCTTCCACGTCGGTGTCCCCGGGTCTTGGTTACTTGGTACCTCGGCGACTTGCATTTGCCCAAGAGACGCGATGGTTCAACTTCGTACGAAAGGTAGGAGCTGCGCTCAACGACACTTGCAACGCCTTTCTCCCAGCCGCACCGCCACCAAAGCACCGGGACGGAAGTCTAAAATGCAGTACATGCCGATCCGCTTGACATTCACGCACGCATGAATCGAGACGTTTGTCATGCTCCATCCCTGCTGGCATTCACCAGCAAGGTACAGGACGAATCTCGGGAAAAGCGCTTGTCAGATCTGGCTCCACAGCAAGGATACCCTACCAAGTGACTCCGGAGAACAGGCGGATTTCATTCTGGAACGTTACTTCCACGGTGCAAGACACGAGGGACCTGTTTGACACGCGTGGGGGTCGGGACATGGCCAGGATCTCTCGACGCATGTGAGACGATGATCATTGACAGATTGGTGGGGGATGGCAATTGCGTAGCCGTATTGTAGCCGTATCAACGGGAACACTCTCGGACCTTTACAAAGTATCGCGCTCTTCCGCTGGCATAGAAGCGCGTTGTATGGGGCTCGTCACGAGGCCGACTGCAGCTCATCGGGTGATCGTACCGCGAACAGGCAGGTCAGGAAATCACACCCATGGACGATACTCCGTATTGTTGCAACTGAGACTTGGGCACTTGATACTGTTTCATCTTGAAAACCTTCCATACTCTCGGCTGTTGGCATGCGTCCCGTTGGATGATGTGTTAGTGTGCGGCTCCAAGACCACGGCTTTTATCCGACGACTATGACAGCCCGTTGGTTAATTATGGTGCGGCTCTGGTAATATCACTCCGACTCCGCGTGACCGCTACGGCTGCTATCTTCTTCTTCTTTAGACAAGAACGATGTAGGCAAAGTACCCTGTCTGCTACTCCTTGCATATGATGACCTATCGCAACGAGCGACTCACAACTTCCGAAATCCATATGTACCCATCCAATCAGGTCCTCTCGAAGAAAGAGAAGTATCGTCAACACAAGAGCTTATTCCTTGCATGGGCCGTCATCTCCCATAGACGGTAGGCGGCACTAGATATTGCTGCAACGGCTTATTGCTATTAGAGGAGTCGCCGGCTAAGGACTGTTAACAGGCTGGTACAATTGTCGTAACTATTCGAGACCAGGTATCATCGCATCACGTCTAGTGGAACGATGATAAGGTAGGTAACGACTAGTATCTCGTGTAGTAGTACCTATTAGGTAAAGTAGAGTGTATTGTAACCTAGACGAATCGCAACCGGCGTAGCAATCTCTTGGGATAGACTACATACTTCTCGACCTCGCTTACCCGGCTCGGACAACAGATATGCTTCAAATCTGCGTGCCTAGACTTTTCTTCCCTACATACATGCTTAAATCTAGATCTGTCTTTCTAAAATTTCTAGTTTGTAATTACGTTTATTGCAACTACATACTCTTACACTTAAGAAA